GATGATTAATTTGATATATTATATATGTAAAACCGATAAGAAATACAAAAGTTATCAACTTTTAAAATACATTTATAATTCAATAGCTAATTGAAGGAAACAAATCAAAAAGTCAGGGATATTTTAGTCACTTAGTATCTCACTATGTAAAATTATAAGGAACTAAATGGTTATATTAATACAAGTGATATTAAAATACCTAAGTTAGCTAAATAATATTTATGGAATGTCCGAACCTAGATTATTAATTATTAATATATCAATATTATTTGTCCAAACCTAATTACGAAGCATGATTCTTCGCCAAGTAGGATTCCGAAGCACCAGAAGCAGCCACGTAGGCTCATTGCATTCGGGAATTATATATAAAGAGGATTATATTTGCTAGTCATGTAATACCATTGATATTACCGGTCCGATCTCAGTGGCTAGACCAGTACCCGTATTTAAAACATTTTTTCTATGTGATGGTGCCCTTTAGTTATAGCTTATTCGCTCCACTCTTTCATCCTTCATCTGAGCAAAATTTTAGCAACGACATATTTTGACTGAAGGCCGACGTGTCCATCTTTTCATTACAATGTCATGTCCGACACTAAGAATTTGACTTCTCCTCACACACATGCGATCTCGATTACCAGACAAACAATTAGGAGAAAGAAATTACGATATTTGTGATTGAAGAATCACATTTTTCTTATATAGGAACTGAAACTTTATCAAAGACAAGCTAACACGGAAATTAATTATAACAATGCTAGGCATTTCATAAGAAAACATTAGACACATCCCCTTATATATTAATTCAAAACGTGATGAGCCTAAGTGACAGGCTCGCACGCTTTGGTATCCTACATGTCACAATATCATATTTTGTAGTTAGGTTCGGATAAAAAAATTTGGAATTAAAATTAGCTTGGAAAGTGTCAAAAACCATTTTTCCACCCTACATTATTGTCTCCCATCAATCTCTCTTTATTACCGAATTTGTCTTGAATTTAAAGATCACATAAATTTTTATTTTTTTATTTCATTTTACTGAAGATTTATCTCGTTCATCATATCTTTTCATTTTTGGTACGACTGTATTCACTTTTGCAGTAAATCTATTTATTAATTTCTTCTCGTGTATTGAAATAAAAAAATAATATAAAATAACAAAAAAGATAGGTAGTCTACAAGTAATTATTAAATTTTAAGCTAAAATTTGGTCACATATAAATGTAGCAAAACGTAGATAAATAAAGTAAAAAATAACTTAATTATTTGCACAAATCACTACTAAGAATAATATGGCAATTATGTTATGGCATTATATTAGTTACAAACAATAAGCGTTATCTTCTCTTACGATTGTTGGTTTATTTATAAACTCTAAAATTGATTAAAAACTAATAATAATGTAAACATGTTAAAACTAAGTGTGGAATTTTCTAAATAAATGGATAAGGACATAAAAAATATATATTTTTAATCTTGTATATCAGATATTTTGGTTGGGATTTTTTGATATGATACCGGTATAAAACGGTATTTTTGCCAAATGGCATTTAGAGGGTTACTGTTCCTTCTTGTCAATGGTATCCGATACTGCTGTCAATACCAGTCGGTACGCTATCTCTTTAAAACATTGTGTTTTCCTATAAACATACATGTCAATTTGTTTATTTTGTTAGCAAGAGTTTATGTGTGATCTTTAGCATTAGCATGTTAATCACTGCAAATTGTACTATAAATTAATTGTATTTAGGTAATTAGCAAATATATCTTATATTTATATAATTTGTTTTTATTATTGGAATTGGTACTAAAATTGTTTCCTTAAACTTTGAAAAAAATAATGTGATTAAAAATTATTATGTTCATGTATAACATTGTAAAGTCATTATAAAACTAACAATGCAATGTTAAAATTTTTAGAAAACTAAAATTAAAATTTGATGCTTATCTTTAAATATTTCTTACATAAATATTTCTTAATTCAATACCCGTTTAGCAAATGGGTGATAAATACTAGTGCTTATGTATAACTCAACAGCATTTAGGCCAACACATGACAAAAGAAAACCATCTTGTTTCTGAAGCATTTGAAGTTAGTTTCAAATCTTCTGATCGCGATGCTGGTGGCTCGGGCTTTTCTGGTACGACTTTTAAAGATTCAGGCTTTCCATGATCGTTCAACAATCTGAAATCAAGGGGAAAAAAAGGCTGGATCAAAATATCATTTAGTTTAATTCTTAGTAATTCAATACAGTCAAAGATGATTGTAATATAGTGATGAACACAGTTGGTCTCGAGAAGTAAATATGAGACGAGACATCTTACAATGGGAATGCAAAGGAGTTGGCACTGTTGTTTCCACTGTCGTGAGAAAAGCGAGGTGGGCTCGGGAAGGTGTGGGGACTACTCAAAGTTTTTGTAATGTCCGTTTTATTAGTTGTAACAACATCAGGTTGACCCTGTTTTCCCATTTCATGTTGATCGAGGGACGGCCGAGTTTCTTCGAAAACTGGGGGAAGTGTTGGGCTCAGATGCGCAATGCGGAAGATGTAAATTAAAATATCAAAGTAAAATGGTGAACAATAATCCCGATCCCAGCAACTCAAGAATGACAAAAGAAAAACTCTTGCAATAACACCGGAATAATTCTTTTCTGATGTGGAAGTTCAGATTAAACTGCGACCACAGAGCATACTAAGAATATCCCAAATAAATAAAATATGCAAGAAATAAGACACCAAGATTTAACGTGGAAAAACCTCCAAATAGAGGAAAAAACCACGGGACAACCTCCGAACAATTCCACTATATTTTCAAGATAATTACAATATCTTTTCACACTCCCTTACACTAGAAATGTAAAATATAGTGTCCCAATGAGAACCCCACTCTTAAACAAAGAGTAATAGAGTTGATACCCAACCCGGTGTATTTTTCCCACACCCACAGGATTTACTCAAACACTCTATTTTTATCTCACTGAAAAATAACACACACAGAAATATTTTTTCTGTACTCTCCTGCTCTCTCTTTTTTCTTCCTCTCTTGGTGCATTTTCTCATTCGGCTGAATGCCTCAATTTATAGTGGAGATGGCAATTGAAACCTTCACCACATACCTCCTTTTTTTTCCGTCATGTGGACAGCTCACAAGATGCTTTTGCTGCCAATATTTGATTCTTTTTCTTATGTCTTGTTGTGGCTTCACGTGGCTGGACTTGACAGGAAGCCCTATTAACTCGCTCGACTTTAATTGTGATTTATTCCATTCGTCGAGTCTGGGGAGCTCGCCGGACATCCTAAGCTGGGAGTCCTGAAGATCGACTGATTTTCCATATAAAATGGCGTAATCGCGCGAGAAACTATTGTTGGGCATGTGGATGCTGAATAGAGACTCGTTGGAGGCCACACTCCACTCGCTTGGGTTAGTGGGTTTGGTAGAGAAAATGGAGGCAGGTATGCGATTCGGGTCATACCCAATCGTCGAATTTTCAATGCCAATGCCATCTTCTACTTCTTGCTTGCTTGCCCTATTTTCTTCTTTCTCCATTCTTTGCTTATCTCATTCATCTACAAAGAATGATTGATGTGCATATATTTTAAATGACCATTGAAAATGAAGAGAATATCAAAACCCAATTGCAAAGGTTGAGGTGCCTGATGCGAAAATGATGAGATTATGATATAAAACAAGAATAAGAGACATATACCTAAACCATGAATCAAATTCCCTCTTGTGTTCCAAATGCATTATATTCTTTTGTTGTTTGTTTCTTCAGCCAAGTTGAGGAATCATATTCCACCAAGCATAAGGAAGCCCTCGAAGAAAAATCACCAGGGATATGTTATAACAAGAAAATTTCAAAATTTCTTGGTGATTGAAATGGAACAAGAATTAGGAGGATCAAAAATTATTTTGAATTTAGGGTTTATTTCTGAAAATAAATTAAAACTTATTTTTTTGGTTGAAATGAAGGTCAAGCATCCACTGCGAACATTCTGGGCAGCCTTCAATTCTAGCCAACTGCATGGGAAATATTATATATAGTGTTAATACCTTTAAATGACCATAAACATTTACAAAACATGAATTTTAGACATGTTTTGAAAAAAAAAAAAA